TGCCATGGACTGCCAAAAGAACCAACAGATCTGTGTTGGAAGAAGTACAGCCAGAGCGCTCCTTGGAGGCCAGGATGATCAAACTTAGTCTCTCACACTTCGGACATATTGTCAGGAGAGACCAGTTGCTGGAGAAGGGATATCATGTTTGGTAACGTAGAGCATAGGAGAAGAGGAAGACCCCCGATGAGAGAGAGTGGCAGCATCGATTGTGAGGTTTTGTTCTGTTGTACATAGGGTTGCTGTGAGTCAGTACTGACTCGACGGCACCAAACAACAATGACAACAACATCCCAATCCTGGCTTTGCTGAGCGATTCCTGTGATGTTCAAAGTGACCATTTAAATCAGATGAGTTCATACAAGAACTCTGGATGTTTCTGCCATGCCTGGGACCTCTGCGGCCGTGCGTAGCCTTGTTCTCGACGTCTAGGAATTTCACGAGCTGCAAAGACAGCGCTGATCAGTGTCACAGAATATCTCCTCAGAGTTTTCCTGGCCATAGAAACTGATCTTCCTTTTTTGATTTTCGCTCCAAATGCATTATTATGGTTTAAGCAAAAGTTTGCAGAGCAAATTCGTTTCCCATTTAGCACTTTGTGGCCAGATTGTCTCCAACACTGATTGCAATCCCCACGGCGTGTCAGCATGCTCCCCATTTCTGCCCCGAGTCCTCCGAGTTTCTGCTCACCCAGGTTTCCTGACTGCTGAGCCTAGCTCCCGGGCAGAAGTTGCCCTTCTGTCTCATGTAGTTGATTATTCTGAGAAGCAGGCCTTACCCAGGGTGAGTCTGTGTGTGTTTGAACCACCAGCTTTTTGACTAGTGGCCTTAGGATCAACCACTGTCGCTGCCTGGGGCCCCTGTCTGTTGGTCTGTTAGGACAGCTGCAGGTCTGCCCTCCTCTGCTGACCCTACAGGACCAATGTGCTTGTCGGAGCGCTGATCCAGCAAGCCAAGTTCTGGGGTTCACATGAGGGTTCCTAAACTCCAGCATGCCGATTTGATCATGGAATTGTGGTTCTGGTAGGAGGCGTATTCCCAGGTCTCCCTGGTGGGTCACTCCTCCCAGTTGTGTGACGCTGTGCTTCTCCCTGAGCAGGCTCAGTGCTCCTGAGACTTTATCCCGACAGAATAGGGGATGTGCCTTCAGTAATTACAGATGCAGCTAGAGCCCCGCCATGCACATCACCACGGGGTACTTGTTTGTTTTCCCGACTTTTCTAGATGGAAACATTTGTTGGAATTGCCTATCCCCAGCATCCTCCGTCTTTGGGCTCATGTCACCTTTTAGCAACCCTCTGCTCTCACTTCTTGGGTTCTGGGGATGGGGGATGGGACAGGGCAGGGTCTCTGGCCAGACCCCATACTAACCAGTGTCCTCCCTTGTCTCCAAACAGCTTCGCCATGTTCCACCATGTGCGGGTCCCTCGACAGGCCCTCCTGAACCGCACCGGAGATGTCACCCCCGACGGCTCCTACGTCACGCCATTTAAGGTACTGACAGGGCCTTGGTGTCAGGGAAGCTCACGGGCGTTTCTCATGTCTGACCATGGAGGACCTCCCCCTGGTTCATTGCAGGTGGGGCAGTGGTCCTCCCTTGGTTCTGGTTCTGGTTCCAGGACACAAAGTGCTGGGCTGGACATGCCGCCCATGCTGGGGTCAGGGGCTATGGGGTGATTCAGGACACTGCAGACCCGATGACCACAGAGGCTGACTGACCTGTGGATGCTCCTTCCCTCACCCTCCCTCGTGCTGACTGCCAGGGGACCTTTCTTTCCTCACACTGTGTCCCCCAGGGCCTGCCCAGGACTGGGGTGACCCCTTCATGGTCACTGAGCTGGCGGAGGGACTGTGGGGGCCAGGACCCTCCCAGAAATGGCCTGACGTAGAGTAGCCACATTAGGCTACTGACCACGTGCCTGGGATTCCCATCAAAGCCACCACATGCCTGGATGGCCCCTTCAAGGTGACCTCATGCTAGGCGTCCCCTTCAAAGTGACAATATGTCCAGAGTTCCTTCAAAGTTGACAACACACCCAGGAGTCATCTTCAAAGTGACCATTCACCAGGGATTTCTCTTCAAAGTGACCACACACCCAGGAGTCCCCTTCAAAATGACCACTCACATGGGAGTCCCCTTCAAAGTGACCACACACCCAGGAGTCCCCTTCAAAGTGACCACACACCTGGGGGACTGCTTTCAAGAAAGGCCTCTTGGAACATCTGCCGCGGGCAGGACCCGTGTGGTTACGAGGCTCCGTTAGCGGTAGCTTACCTAAAGGAGGAAGCTAGCCATATCAAACAAGGAGTCTTTGACAAATGCATTGTCAGTGAGCTTGTTGCTGCGGACCCTGTGGGTGGAGTAGGACAGCTTCATAGGGTTACCGAAGCTTCAATCTATAGGCAAACAAACCACCTCATCGTTCTCCTGCGGAGCGGCTGGTGGATTCGAACCACAGACCTTTCAGCTAGCAGCTGAACATTTAACCACCGTGCCACCAGGGCCCCTTAGTAATGTAACAAGCAAACTAATTGAAAAAAAGAACTCAGTAGGTGAGGCCTGAGAGGCCGAAGCAGGACCCGTGTGTTGTCGAGTTGGTTCCGACTCATAGTGACTAGCGTGGGGTTTCAGGGAGCGGCTAGTGAGTCACAATTCAATGCAGGAATCAGTGGTAAAACCACATCTGTGGCACCAGCCAGAGGCTGCAGGGATGTTTGGAGAGATGGTGGCGACGCATTTCTTGAAACTGAGCCAGGACCAGACTTCTGGGCACCAAAGACCAGAAATCAGGAAAAGCCCGAACTGGAGCATCTCAGCCTCTGGAGAAAGAGGCCGACATTCCAGCTTGACTGGGACAAAACTCCGTTTCACTGCGGATTTCTCAAGCCCAGCGCTAGATGTAAGAAGACAATGAGGTCATGCTTGAAACTGTTGAAGGAAAATGGCTTTCAATGCACATTTTTAAGCCGTGTTTAAACTCCACTCACGCTCTCACACTGGGGAGAGAGCTGAATAGAATATCCTCAGGCAGGCGGAGGTCTGGAAGGCTGCCACGTGGATCCTGCTGTGGGAAGTCCTAAAGAAGAGAGGCTCGAATAATAAAACAAACCCGAGAGAAACAGCCAGAGGTGTGGGGTGCCGGCAACTTGTCCCTGACCCGCAGTGACCCCACACGTGTCCGAGAAGAGCTGTGCTCCATTGGAGTTTCAGTGGCTGACTTTTCACAAGGAGGTTGCCAGGCCTTTCTTCCAAAGCACCTCTGTGTGGACTTGAACCTTCAACCTTTCGGTGAGCTGTTAAGTGCTCTGGGACACTATGGGAGGTGTGGTGCTGCATGATAAGCACTGGATCACAAGGTCAGCAGTTCAAACCCACCACCTAGTCCTCAGAAACCCTATCCAGGGTTGCTGAGTCGGAACCGACTTGACGGCACTGAACAACAGCATGGGAGGTACCCACTAAGCCCATGGCTGTGGACTCGATCCCAGAGGGCAGAGTACAGCTGCCCCACAGGGTCTCCAAGGCTGCCATCTTTACGGAAACACTGCCACATCGTTCACCCACGGAGCAGCTGCAGGCTTCGAACTGCTTAACCACTGTGCTACCAAGGCTCCCCCCATCCGAGATAAGATGAGAAGTGATTAGGGAAGGTTTATTGTTGTCTTGGAGTCGGTGTGTGGCACTTGCTGTGAGTTAATGCACTGAACTGCAAGGTCGATTTGAACTGCAAAGTCGGCAGTTCAAGGTTACCAGCTGCTCTTCAGAAACCCTGTATAGGGTCGCTGTGAGTCAGAACTAACTCTACGCCACTTAACAAGAAAAACAACAATGTTGTCTTAACTGGAAAACTAAACACAAGGTCACTTCACAGTGAGTGCGTCCTCAAAACGCACCAAGCAGCAGGACAATAAAGAACCATCCAGGTGTCCTGGGGGCCGGATACCACATCATGTCATTGAGGACCTTCCTGTGTTTTGTTTTGTTTTCAAGTTTTTATTGTGAATTATGTGATAGTTTACATGGGAGAACATCAGCTTTACATTCATCCTATTGTATATCGTTTCATTGCCATGGTTACAGTCCCCTCCATGCATCATCAACCAACCAAAGGGTATACCCTGCAACCCTACCCCTCTGGTCGTCAGCACACAGTTGCTCTCCCTCTCTGGGTCTAAAGTCTCTAGCTGCTCCATCACTCCACATCATCATCTCCGCTTCCATCTCTGGCATCATTACGTCTCTGAGTAGGGTCCCGCTCTCCACTTTTCTCCCTTGATGGTCCCAGGGACCTCCGCTCCTAGACTGCAAAGTCACTCTCTCCCCCTCCTTTTGCAACAAAACATCTACCTTTGCATTTCCAACCCTCACAGTCAGTCCTGATAGTGATTATTCACTATTGTACCATAAGAGACCTATCCCCATCTCCTTTCATCAGTCCTGCCCAGACAGATTGGATACTACTCAGTGGAGATTCTACCTTCCTCCATGCCCTCTGGATCTAGGTTCCCTCTCGAAAGCTTGTAAGCCAGGCACATCTTTCTTTTGTAGCCCCCCGCCCCCCATTTTGG